TATAGCGAACAATCGATACAGTGCAGCTAACAGACTGGCCAACAGGAGTGGGCAGATCCTCCTACCACATCTCGTCCCCTGTAAATCTGGCGCAGTGAGGAAATAACGTAACGACAATCAAAATGGCAGCAAAAATAATCATCTAGCTAGCAGTGGATAGCAGCAATAACTGGCCACAGGCTGTGTACAACAGCTAAGGGCCGACAGACTTATAGCGATTCAAAACCCAATTGGACACGTCCTCGAGCTCGATCTTAGGATCCCACCTCCACCAGGAGTTCAGCGAATACGGGCCAGCCAACTGGTCACGACGCAGCTGGCGGCGGGCTTCATCAGTCTCAGGTGCATAAAACCACTCGTCAGGCTTGATGTCAGAGTAAACCTCGGGCCAAGGGAAGGCTTCTTCGTTAGGGAATGGCTGTACTCCCTCTCTTGCGCGAACGGCCTCGTACTTGTAGATGTGCTGGACTAGGGCTTCAGGCTTACGAAGACCACTATCACGACCAAGCTCATCCTTCATCACGGGCAGAAAAGCACGAAGAGAACGGGCAACGAAGACCGTACCATCGGGCCGGAGAGGCATAACCCGGGCCAAACGTTGAACTTGATGTAGAGCTCGCTGGCAATGACGCTGACAGCAACATAATACCGAGCAATCATTCCTTACCGGGCCATCTATGTGCCCCCCTTCACAGTGGTAGAAGACGGCTAGAGCAGGAACTGAGGCAGATCTCAGCCATCCCAAAATACCGTTGGCCGCAACCAAGTAAGGCTCGGGCCAAACGTTACCATCCTTCCTCCACACTCTCGGGCCAGCAAGTAGCTCACTAAGGAAGAGCATCTTGCCAGAGACATCCCAGTCCCAAGCGGGGATCTGGCCGGCACATAAAGGGTGGTTGATCACCAACCCAGCGTCTTCAGCTAGACCTCTACAGGCAGATGGGAAACCCTTCCAGAAATCCTTAAGGTCTTCAAGCTCGGTAGGATCCGTGACCTTAATATCGTCGTCGTATAACCACCACACGTCTCCACGACCGGACCGGGCCGAAGAGCGTGCGACTACATCATTAAACCGTACATCGGGCCGAGGTTTCAAAGCATCACCCCAGCCAGGGTGAGGAACACCAGCTCGTTGCAGAACTTGATCAGTGCTCCAGTCAAAATCCTTGGAAGAACGTCTTCTAGGCGAGGTAATCGAAGCCACAGGACGATCTTCGGAAGAACGCACCTCCAGCGAACGCTTCTCCAAACCGTCATTTTCTTTCTCGAGGAGCTGGTCGTTGACTACCGATCTCACCGTAGGAGTTGTCGAACTCATACAGGCCAGTAGACCTTCTACAGGGAACATACGGGCTTGCTCCCAAGCTCCAATCTCTTCCAACAGGCTGGAGACAGCGGTCGCAACTTCAGTGGGACTACGAACACAAAGGCCGGGGGGCTCACTTCCTCCTCTAGAACCTGGCGTAAACTTTCGACCGTATCCTTCCATACGTCCCAGAGACGACAGTAGACTCTGGCGAGGAAACAGTAGGACCATCCTTAGAGCAGCCGATCCCAGTAGCTCTAGGAGGCATGGTCGGCC